GAAAGACTTAACAGTGGTTAACAATGGTTTAACAATTACTGATAATATTTTTAGGGCAATTTGTTGTTAGTGTCTAATGTCAGTTACAATACATGCCAGCTAAACAGAGACTGTGTATTATATCAGTTTGCATTGCTTTGTTTCATTAATTTAAGAATTTGTAGACAGTATTCAAAAGAGGTTCTTCCATTTGGTAATCTTAGCTCACATTTCTTTTTGATTGCTAAGAACCTTCCCTCTCCATTTACCAGTGTAGTGTGTGTGTGTGCGTGCGCACAAATTAATAGCATGAGAAAATGTTACTTTGTCCCTGAGTGAATTGTTCCTTCTTTTGGTGTGAGTTTTTTGACTATAGAGCTGAGTCATACTTCTTTAGTCTCAGTAGATGCTGAGATCATTTGATACCCTTTACCTGTTTACCTGTGTATGAATTAACGAAGGACTTGATTTTCTAAAAAAAAAAAAAAAATCTATTGGAATACCTTTGGCAGGTTCTTTTTTTAAGGTGAGCTTTTTATTTATTTTTTTCTCCACAAGACATTTTTTTACTTGACGTATACTTTAGAATACATTGTTCCAAAGGATGTATATAAAACATTCCATTCAAGAAAAATAGAATACACATTTTCCTCAGGTATACACAGAAGAATCCCCTGGTTAAATCACATAATAGACATACAGTAAAAATTTAAGAATACTGAAATCATACCAACTATATTTTCCAACCATAATGGTACAACTAAAGATCAATAATAAAACAAAGCTGAAAAATCTACAATGTAAATATTAAATATTTAACATGTAATTATTAAACAACACAGTATTATGCAAGCAGTGGGCCAAATAGAAAATCAAATGGCAAATCAAAATTGTCTCAAAACAAAAGAAAATGGATAAGTACTATTCCAAAACCTATGGGTTGCAGCAAAAGCAGATGTTAGAGTGGAATTTATGCTATAAATGCTTGTATTAGGAAAAAAAAAAGTTCAAAAAGCAACATTATACCAAATGGAACTAGAAAAAGACGAAACTTAGCTGAAATTTAGTAGAGGAGGAAATAACAAAGAAAAATCAGAAATTTTAAATAAAATAGAGACCAAAATAACATAATGTTGAAAGTTATGACCAGTTTAAAACACACACACACACACACACACACACACACACACACACAGTTGGCAATGCTTTAACTACATTAAGGAAAAAATAAGACTCAAAAATCAACGTGAGCAATGGAAGAGAAAACAGTACACAGATAACCACAGAAATGCATAGTGTGATAACAAATTATCACAAATAATCATATACTAACATGAGATATTTTAGGAAAAAACCTAGATAATTCCTAAAAATGCACAAGTTACCAAGATTCAGTCATGAATCTAAAAACCAAGAAGTAGGAAATCTTCTTATACCAATAACAAGAATGAAAGCTGAATTAGGAATTAAAAAATCTCCCAACACAGACAAGCCCAAAACCACATAGTTATTGGTGAATTCTACCAAACATTAAAAAAATAGGGTCGCCTGGCTCAGTCGATTAAGTGTCCAACTTCGGCTTAGGTCATGATCTCACGGTTAGTGAGTTTGAGCCTCACATCAGGCTCTGTGCTGACAGCTCTATGTCTCCCTCTCTCTCTGCCCCTCCCCCACTCACACTCTTTCTCTCTCTCAAAAATAAATAAACATTAAAAAAATTTTTAATTAAAAAAATTTAAAAGCTAATAATAATCTTTATCAAAATCTTATAAATAATAGAGGGAACACATTCAGAATCATTCCACAAGGCCACTGCTACTCTGATACCAAAGCAGGATAAAAGCAATACAAGAATGAAAAACATCTAATTTTCCAATATAAGTATTACTACCCTGCCTTTCTTTTAATGTCCATTTGTGTGATAAATGTTTCTTCACCCCATCACTTTCAATCTGAAGATGTTTTGGTCTAAAATGAGTCTCTTGTAGGCAGCATACAGATGGGTCTTGTTTTTTTGTTTTTTTAAAATCTATTCTGAAACTCTGTTCCTTTACATTTAGTCCATTTATATTCAAAGTAATTATTTTTTTTTTAATATTTATTTTTGAGAGAGAGGGTGAGAGTGAGGTAGGGGCAGAGAGAAAGGTTGACAGAGGATCCAAAGCAGGCTCTACATTGATAGCAGAAAGCATGATGTGAGGCTCGAACTCATTAACTATAAGATCATGACCTGAGGGGAAGTCAGATGCCCAACTGACTGAGCCACACAGAAACCCCATTCAAAGTAATTATTGATAAATATGTATTGATTGCCAATTTATTACTTGTTTTGTTATTGTTTCTGGAGATTTTCTCTGATCCTTTCTTGTCTATATCACTTTTGGTCTCTTCTTTGCACTCAAAAAGTCTCTTTTAATATTTCTTGCAGGTCTGGTTTAGGTCATGAACTCCCTTAGCTTTTGTTTGTCCGGGAAACTCTCTCTCCCATTCTGAATGATAGCCTTGCTGGATAGAGTATTCTTGTCTGCAGATTTTTCCTATTTGGCCCTTTAAATATATCAGGCCACCCCCTTCCAGTTTGCCATGTTTCTGTTAGAAATCTGTAAATTAATCTGTAACTTCCCTTGTAAGTTAAGGACTTCTTTTATCTTGTTGCTTTCAAGATTTTTCCTTTAACACAATATTTTGGAAATTTAATTATAATATGTCTTGTTGGTATGCTTTTGTTGATTTTGATGGGATTCTCTGTGCCTTCTGATCTGCATGTTTGTTTCCTTCCCCCAAATTAGGGTAGTTTTCTGCTGTTATTTCTTGAAATAAATTTTCTGTCCCCTTTTTTCTCTCCTTCTTCTGGGATTCTTATAATACTAATGTTATTAATTTTGATGAAGTCACTGAATTCCCCTAAGCCTGTTCTCATGTTGCATAATTCTTCATCTCTTTTATTCAGTTTCCTTATTTTCCATTATTTTGTCTAATATATCTCTTATTCATTCCACTGCTTCTTTCATCCTGTTGTTCATTGCATCTAGCCTGTTTTCCAATCTTGTTTATTGCATTCTTCATTTCTGATTGGTTCTTTAACTTTTTTATCTCTGTGGTAAGGGTCTTACTGCTGCCTTCTTTTCTTTTTTTTTTTCTTTTTTTTTATTTATTTCTAGGAGAGAGAGAGAGACAGCGTGAGCAGAGGAGGGTCAGAGAGAGAGGGAGTCACAGACTCTGAAACAGGCTCCAGGCTCTGAGCTGGCAGTCAGCACAGAGCCTGATGCGGGGCTCGAACCCACGAACCGTGAGATCATGACCTAAGCGAAAGTCGGATGCTTAACCGACTAAGCCACCCAGGCGCCCCTGCTGCCTTCTTTTCTTAAGCCCAGCGAGTATCCTTATGATTTTTGCTTTAAATTCTCCATCAGGCATGTTACTTATATCTGTTTTGCTTAGATCTCTGGCCGTGGTCTTATCATGTTCTTTCATTTGGGATAAATTCCTCCATCTTGGCATTTTGTCTAAGTCTCTGCCTTTTGTATGTCAGAAAAGCCAGTTATGTCTCCTACTCCTGAAAGTAATGCCTTATGAAGTCATGTAGTGCCCAGGGCCTGGCGCTTTAAGGAGTGTCTCCAGTGTGTGCTGTGTGCACTGTACTCTTGTGGTTTGGCTGCTCTGTCCTTTGGGCCAGTCATTTGCACAGGCTCTCCTTGCTTGCTATGGTCAGTGTTTGGTCCCTGGCCTGAATGTGGCAAGTTTTAACCGGATGTGCTCTGATCTGCTTGTGAAATCAGACCTGACACCAACTCCACCAGAACTGAGGCCCTGCAGAACTCACATTAGGAGATGTGGTGTGGGCAGGAGTTTCTGCTGGTCTTCTGAGTAGGGGTGGGGGGCGGCTGTCACACTGGGGTTTAGGCACACTTGACTGAAAAGGGCAGTACTGCCAGAGCATAGGTGTGTAGGACTTGGTATAAGCAAGTTAGGCAGCCAGTATCCATGCTGGTCTGCTTTCCTTAGGATTTTATTTTAGTTTTTTAGAGATGGGAAGCAGAGGTCTTACGTATCTATTGTTTTCATTTGGGTAAGAGGACGTTTACATTTTAATTAATACTACTGATTTTATATAGAAAGCGCATTTCAAAGGGCACTGAGTATTTTTTTTCAAGAGGCTTATCCCTCTAATGTTTATAAAAGTAGCTTTTTAATATTTTGTATATATAAGAAAAAAATCAGCCTCTTCAGAAATCTTTTATTTGAACTCATCAACCTATAAATTAAATTTCCTTTGTTTTTACTTTGGCCAACAGTTCTACTGTTAACAGGTAGAAAATTGAAATAGAATTCTAGGCAGTGCTTCCTATCCATGTCTACCCTTTTTTAGTGTGTCTGAATGGTCCAGGTTCACTCCAAGGGATTTAAAATGTTTTTTTTTTTTTTTTTTTACAATTATAGAGATTATTCACCCCTGAAGGCTATGTAAGTTACTATTATAAGGTGAGAAAGGTGCTATTTTGTTAAATCCACATTACAGCTGTTAATGTGACATTTTTTTCAAAAGTAGGTAGAGGGAGATCCAGATTCACCCTGGCTGTTTAGATTTCTCCCATGCTCCCAGGTATGTGGGGTACCAGAGGCAAAATGGGAGACTCAGGCCAATTGTATATAAACAAATAAAAATATTTAAAACAGAATTTTTTGTAGTTATTCAATAATGGAAATAAGACAGAACTCTAGGAGATTCCTAGGCAGAGAATCTGAATTCCCATATTATGTAAATCATTCCAATGAAAAAGGGTTTTTCTTTTATTTTTCTGTTTCCTTTTGATATTAGCCAGTTATTTGTTTCTTTAGTTTTTGCTGAATCTTATTACCAAAATTCTAGATTATTCATAGAAGCCATTTCATCCATCACTGAATTATTCTTCAACAGAACTACTTACGTAGTACATAAGAGTATTTTAGTGCTAGGAAGACAAGAAAGATGTTTATAGTACTGCTTTCTTCAACTATTCTTGGTTTCCTTGGATTTCTAGGATGTGGGGAGCATCTTGTGCGCACCATACTGGCTAGAGAATGTTCACATGCTTTACAAGCTGAAGATGCTCACCAAGCACTGTTGGAGACTATGCAAAACAAGTTTATCAGTAAGTATAGCATTAAAAAATTATGTTCTTCTAAATATAGATTGATTTACTTAGCTGTAAACTAGTTGGATACCTCATTTGTACCATGATTTCTAGCCAATGCCTAGGATAGACTTAGACCTTCTATTAATGCTGGTCATGAAAAGGGGTTATACCAGATACCTACTAATGCATGAAATTTGCCATATAACTAATCTAGTGCCCAAGCTATGAGACAGTATCTAAGATTAGAGTGATCTATCAGCATAAAATCCTACTACCACAAAATTCAAGGGAAAACATCCTTGAAAGTTTTATAATACACTTTGGCTTTTTTTTTAGTTAGTGTTACATTAATGAATCTGGTGCTGCCATGTACAGTTTGTATAGGGTTGAGTTGAAATCCTGCCTGGGCTCCATTTGCCAAGCTGTGTAACCAAATGTGAAGCTCCATCAGTTTGGAGGAAGAGGTGCCTTTTTCTAATCCATAGAAAGATTTTGTATAGCCTAGCAGTGGCTCTATCTATAACTGTTGCTTTGGGTTAAAACTATTTGATTTAGTCCGGTTTTCCCATCATGTAACATTGAGCTTACCACTATGGAAAGACTAATGAAGTTGTGTAAGATGCATAAAGTATAGTTAAAAATAAGTTAGAGAAAGCGTATTACATGGTTAGTCTGGGAGGTTGTATTTTTACTTGGGGAATTAAGACAGGGTATAATGAGGTGCTAATTATGTGATGAGGACAACACAGACAAAAGTCACGGAAGGTCTTAAAAATCTAGCATAGAAGTTTACATTTGATCTAATAGAAAGGAGAGAATCCTTATGTGTTTCTAAGTTGACAAATAAAATAGTATCTTGGAGGAGGGTTTATAAAGTACATCTAAGGTTGTCCAAGACCATCTCTATAGGAAGGAGACATTAGGGACTGGGAATGGTCCAAGGGATGGAGAGGATGGAGGAAAGGGAGAAAGTGGAAATATTGGTAGACTCAGATTTTGAGACTAGGTGGATGTAGCCCTCTGGGTCAAATCAGGACATAGAAACATTAACATTAGGTTAACCAGGGGAAGTTTAATATAAAGATTTGCTAACTCTGTTGAAGGAGTAAGTATAAGATATAAAGAAACTCTGTGTGCTACTCTAGAGTGGAGAGGCCATACTGTAAAGAGTATAGATCTTGATGAAGGTATGGTTTGGCCACTGAGTAGCAGGGAAGGTCACTGGTTTGACCAGGCTGGGACTAGTCTGGAGTTGCTGAGCAAACAATAGGCCACTTTCTAGGGTGCAGAGAGCAGATGATCAGTATTTAGTGGCTGGGTATGTAGTGGGAGCCTGGTACCAGTTGGGGACAGAGAACACAGAGGACTTCAGAGCCCACAGGCCACAGACGGATTACAGAGGCGCTGACTACTTGGTATTTGACCCTTTGGGACACAGGGGCTACATGCAGACTATGCAGGGCCTTGCCATTGGAGTCTAGTGCAACTGCAGGGGGCCTATTGCCAAGCCCAGGCTTAGATATCAAAGTCACAAAGGCGCTGTCTTCACACCCACACTGTCTCTCCTCCCCAGTCCATGCTGGATATTGCAGGAAGGGTGTCTATTGTAACTGTCTATCTTCTCTTAACTCAGCTGAATGTCTGACTCCTTGCCTTCATTCTGCTAGTTCCTTCCATATAAGCCTAATCTCTTTATACATGTCATTTTATATTTGTTTGCCACTCTTCCCTCTCTACTGGATAGAACCAGGATTCAGTGGAGCTTCTTGGTCATTGTGGGAGGGACCATCTGGTTCATGGTCACTCTCTTCCCACTGTTGGCTTCTACTGAGATAGGACTTGCCCTCCACGTCCTTATGGGTTCCTGGCTTCGGTTGTTCCTAAATCCACTATGATGTCTTTGGTCTTTTTGTAGTCTTTGACTTCTTCAGTACACACAGTATCCACTTATAGTAGATGCTAGTGGTAGTAGAATCAGATGGTCTGAAACTTCTGGAATAGTCCGTGAGAATGTCAAGTCCTAATGGCCCAAGTATATGAGGCTAGATTTTTTTACTTTACTCTTAAAGGATCTGACTGGCCTGAGGGAATGGGGAACTTTTCTACCTGGCTTTCTGTGTCTTGAGGCCCCCTCTATTCTTGGATCCTTCAGATCTAGCAAGGGCTTTTTTTATTTGTCCCCTCTTTTTCCTCCACCCTTACCAGCTTGGAAAGAGGGACAGAAACCTATACAGTGATCAAGTCTTTTCTTCTCGTTTTCCCACAAATGTCCAGTGTGTCCAGTCATATCCCAACTCCAGTCCTATCTTTAGGGTTCTTGTGGGGAGCTCCAAACTATTTATTTTGCCAAATTTTAGGCTTTACCTGTTCAAATCATATTTCATTCTAGAGCTGTCTATACTTAGAATTTATGAAAGTCCACTTAGAAGCACAAAGGATAAAACTTGTATCAGCTAGATAAATACACAACTGATGGGATCAATGGAAGGTTCTGGGGATGGAGATAAAACAATATTTCATTATTATACAGGCCTTTAGTAAGTATTGTGCTTTATTAGGAAAGATTTTTAGGGAAGAGAGAGAATGAAAAACAGATTATGGGCAGGAAAGAATTGGATGTATCTGAAGCAGGAACAGAGTGAATAACTATAGGAAAAGAATTCACTATGAAGAGGTTTTGTACAGGTGGTTTCTTGGCAGTTATTTGAACTGAGGTTATAAAGACATAAGTAATTGTATTAATTGTATGCATGTGAGCAAGAATTGCCTGAGAGCAAAATGTGTGGTGAGGAATGAGTTAGGGGCAGGCCTTTCAGGTTTTTCAGAAAAAAGTTGATTACATTTGTGTCACTATATTGTTATATATATCAGAATCCGACTTAAGTATTGTTGGTCTTTTGTTTTAGTAATTACCAACTGTTGATTGCTGTTTTTAAAGGAAAGCAAATTTTTGGCCTTAATAACACATATAATTTATATAATCTGGTATTGGTTATCCAGCTATATTAGAAGCATTCTTAGAATATTAGTGAGAAGGATAGTAAGAGGTGAAAACTGGATGCTGAGGAGAAATTAACTTCCTGGAAATAAATGGTGGGTGTGGAACTATGTCATGTAGCAATTTTCTGAAGCATTTTACTGAGTCCAAAGCCATAGATTTACCAGCTAGTTGTACCTTTCCAGATTTAGGTCAATGCTAAGTAGTTCCTGAACTCCACACTGTTGTCTTCTGTTGCCTGTCCTCTCCTTTTCTCTAGCTCTTTGAAGCAACTCAGAGAGTTGGACTGCAGTATTTCATGCTGCCACTGGATCCCATCACCTAATGCATATTGAACCCCATCTTAAAAATTCCAGAATCGTGGAAAGGAATAAGAAACTCACCTGATTGACCCTGTTTATTTAATAGTTGACAAAACTTAAGTTTCCAAGTTTAATGACTTGTCCATGTCAGTTAGTTAGTCAGTGTGTATTCTTTCTGTAAGATCACACTGCTTTTTTTTTTTTTTTTTTTTTTTTTTTTAAAGTAAAATGAATGGAAAATATAGGAGGAGACTTCTGGTGGTTAGCAGAGTTGGGTTCTATTCTCAAATCTGTGTCTGATTCACTGGATGTAACAATTTACTTAAGCTGTTTGTTTTCTTAAAGAAAAAAAAAAAAGAATGTTAGGCAAGAGACCATTTCTAAATTCCTTTACCATGCTAAGTTCTATGAATTCTCTACTGCATTTAACTTGAAAATGTGAAATTCTTTTTAATCACGTGAATTGGAAATGGGATTGGAAAATGAAAAATTTCCAGAACCACTTGGGAATTTTCAGGAACCACAGATGATATTTATAAAGTAGGTAGAATGACATAAACAGAATTTACCAGAGGCCTGGACAAGGAGCAAGGAGGTTGGGTTCTTTCCTCTTTTAATAGTGATGACTTTAGTTGTTTATTGTAGGACAAGTCTCTTTGTTCTCACTTTCCTCATGTGTAAAATGAGAGGACAGAAAGTCCTTTCCAGCTCCAAAATTCTGTTTGATCCCAGGTTTGTTCACAGGCCAATCTAAACTATTTGTGTGACTGTACAATTGTAAATCAAGTTGCTCCTTAATTGAAGCTATGAATTAAAATTGTTAATGGTGTATTTTGAGTTCCTATTTGAAGTAATTTGGTTGAAATCCTCTGACAATGACTGAGACAAGCTAGCAACCACTTTCTTGGTTTTATGGAAAGACACCATTATATTCCTCCTTTCTTGCTTCCTTTGCTTTTTTGAAAATGCATTTGCATAGATAATATATCTAGAGATTCTCATTGGATACATAGAAAAATTTTATATAATTACCATGACAGATATTCCTTTTCCATTAACTCTTAAGTCCCATTGCTTTTGCCAGAAAGAAACACTACTGACAATTTGGTATGTGTTTTTATAGTATATTCTTTTTGTCCATGTACACACTTCTCTCTCTCTCATCATTTATAACAATTATAGAGGAGATTTCTAATATATTGTTTTGCAAAATACTTTTCACTTAACATATTTTGATGCTTTTAAGGTGTCAGTGTGTATAGGTTTATAGCTGCATATTCTGTGGTTCCATAATTTATCTGTTTCCCTACAGATAAATTCTGTAGGGAGATTCATGTTGTCTGTAATTTAAAAAAAAGTTTTAATGTTTATTTTTTGAGAGACAGAGAAATAGCATGAATGGGGGAAGGGCAGAGAGAGAGACACACACACAGAATCCAAAGCAGGCTCCAGGCTCTGAGATGTCAGCAACAGAACTCAACATGGGGCTCGAACTCACGAACTGTGAGATCGTGACCTGAGCTAAAGTCTGACACTTAACCGACTGAGCCACTCAGGTGCTCCTCTGTAACTTTTGTCTGTATCATTTTCCTGTGTGTGAATTCATTTTTCTCTGACTCTGGGCATTTTATACAATCCCATTTTCACTCTTTTTGTAGCATATTGATTTTATTTATTGGTTTTTTTTTTTACTTTTTTTCAGCAGTTGCCCTAGA